AGACAAACATAACATACTTTCCAAATGTTGATCCAGCGGCGCACACCAATCAGACTGCCTACATTCCTCACTTCATTCTGGCAAGCATCTTTGTCTGCACAACCTCGAGAACACCCATCAAAACCCGACCAACATTCAAAAACAAACATGCGATATCGTATATTATCTTCTCAGCGAGAAAAATTCGTTCATACTATTCATACGCTCTCCGAAACATAAATCACAATCCTCCGAAAACTTTTGCGCACAAAGTTTCTCAGACAAACTGAGGATGGATTTGTGTTAAGGGTACACTTCCCATTCAAGCGTTATAAAAACAGGGCAAAAAGAGATGCATTCGCATGATGAAAGTCGCACGACTTTTAATCCGGTGGAAAAATTATTTTCTGCAACCGCGGACAAATCAGTTCTCTGATTCCACAAACCGCATACTGATAAAGTACCTGTGTTGAAGACCCCGTTCGGTGTGGCCGATTCTATCATCATGATGGCGACAAGAAGTCGTGCGGCGTGGTGGCGCCGCCGTTACGGAGTCCTCGTCATCGTTCCTCTCCTAGCGTCCGTGCTTCGTTCACACTATTGTTAACATAATATTCATCTAATCATATTGTTTATGTAATTCTCCTGTAGCTCGGCTTTTTCCCCACTTCCCTATGAGTCATCAAATGATTTTTTTTCCAGCAATCATTCAAAGTAAAGGGGTGTAGGACTGGTCCCACGTTATCGCTCAAAATCACTGATCATATTTGGGCTTTTCGGAACTTGTGAATACGCGGTCTTCGAGACTGATTTGTATGTCGGCAATGCAACCCCGGCATTGTCGCACCGCGCCGCCGTGCGAGACACCGTGACGCAATGTGCGCGACGTGACCTGACTTGCCGACGATAGAATCGCCCGGGTCCCGTGTGAAGCTTCGAAATGGTACGAGTTTCACTATGCATTGCTGTATTGGGTAGGATTCAGAATCATGGACTGGTATCGATCGGCGCCGGAACTGCTGCTCTACTGCTTTGAGAGAATATGGGAGAATAGGAGAGCAGGCGCTGCCTAATCACACGGTCTGGTACGCTCCTATTCTTCTACACTGTCTCAGAAACCAGCGATTGGCGCCGATTGATACCCTTCTATGGCTGCGTTTCCGTCTATAACATTGGAACGCTGTTGCAATGGTAGTGCGTCGACGCGCGTCATCGCGAAGTCTGAAAGCTGGCTTAGCTTTAGGATGAGCTCATAGGTGTTCACTAGGTGGTGAAAACCATTTAAGAGCTTCACAGAAATTACACGCTTCGACATCGATCGGAAGGAGCAAAATGCCCCCTCTAAGCCAACAAAGCTGAAATCAAAAGGCTTTAAATGAACTCACGAAGCCTGTCTGCTCGGTTATGATTTTTTTGCCCGGTTTCTTACGGTTCTCCATACACGTTTCTTCAACTCGCTATAGTTTCTAAATAGTCGAACTCTCCGACCCAACGTTCACACAGTTTACCGATTCTAATTCCAAACGATCGACTGAGCTAGGCCTCATCACTACCCGATACATTACGATTGAAGATAACCTAGAAAATCGATAAATAGTAATAGTTAATGGGGGCAGCCATCAAATCGATCACAGATTCAGAAATACGATGACGTAAAAAACAACGTCACAAACACCTCACAGGAAACAAGAAAGATAAAAAAAAATCATTGTATTAACAGACTAACAGTACGTTGTTAGAAAGCCACCAAAAGCCCAACAACACACCCACAAACCCCCTCCGGGACCGCATTTCAGACTTTCGCGATGACGCCGCGTTCGACGCGAGCGCTTCACTGAGAAGTCTTGAAGGGGTCCTCCTTTTTCATTTCTCTCTATACATGTCACTTTTCTATCACAATGTTATCATCAGTTGTAACTCGTAAAAAGCACAAGTAAATCAATGCACTGGTCAAATAATAAACAAAGTCGTTAATTGTAGAAATCACTGGTATAATCACTGGTACAATCAACACTTAAATTGTACTGTAAAAAACCGGTCAGTATTCACTGCTGAAATGGACCCTTGAAAAATAATATTGGCGCCTGCTACATGTCGCCTACGCTTTACCAACCGGTGGGTGCCCTTGGCGGGATGAAGTGAATACAAAGGAAAGAACTGTTGTACAATAAAATCGTAGCGATATGAGTCATACCGTAAGGGATAAAAATCATAAAAGAAACATATTTGAGCAACAAAACTCAACATACTGAAAGCTACTTCTCATTACTAACAAGTCGACTACACAACTGCCCTAAAGCGGCTTCTCTCCAAGCAAACCTCAAAAATTCTATTACACTTAACCATCTAAAACGGGACCGAATTGAAAAGATCTCTACTCTTGAAAGGTATTCATTCTTACAATTTTTTACATATTGCTGAGAGGACAGATCTGAGAGCAGCCTAGTAGAATTCCGGATCGGTTTCTGACTCTGCTGAATTCTTCCGTCCAAGAGAATGTTGGCCTAAAAACTTTAAATTATACTTCTTCAAATATCCTACCGTATACAATTCGCTAGGTTTGTCTGTTGGTGTGTGGTTTGAATTCATAAGTTCCTTCAGCTCAGTCGTAGAGAGCTCAAATCGATAAGCGATGTAAGAGGTCAGCCGGGAACATATTTGTTGGTGGCAGGAGGTGATAACAGCTGACCGGGCTTACAGGATGCCTTTAAATGGGAGGATTACCAAACTCATTACCAAATGGCTCGCGTCAAAGCAGCGGTGGAAAAAAGCGTTCCAAGAAGTGGTATGAGGGGTTGGACGTGAACATCATTGGTGGGTGGCAGGTGATTACATCCGACAAGGGCTCACAAATAGCTTCAGAATGAGAGGGTCACCAATTCATAACTTGCGTCAGAGGAACGGTGGAATGTCGGTTCCAAGAAGTTATATAGGGGACTGGCGTGAACATCATTGGTGGGTGGCAAGAGGTGATAGTAGGTAACAAGGGCTGACAGAGTGCCTTAAACGGGCAGGACCACCAAATTCATAACTCGCGTCGCAGCCATGGATTGAAGCATGCGCGCAGAAGTGCGCGTCACCCAAGCTGGTTGATTAATAAAGTTCAATGGTTGAGTTATCGTCAATGATTAATTCCTCCTTGAGATGCTGCACGCTTTTTTCGCTGAGAATCCAAGTGGTATATGAATGCGATACGGTCCATAGAATGACTTGTGGAACCAGACGCGGCACAAGTGAACATTTCTATCCTTCCAGGGGAATCCAGAGCCATTCCCCAGAGTGAGAAGGCTTGGTTGGTTTTAGGTTTTAGGGAGCAGATCCGGAATTAGACCTATACTTTATTGACGGCGTTACCAATCCTTCACCAGTCTAGCTGCTCCATTTCGAGAAGATTGTTGAAGGATTTTTTTTCTGCACCAGCTTACAAGGACGGATCGTCTCTCTCACTCTCAGTATAAACTCATTTTCAGAAAGTGGTTGAAGAAGCCAATATTAGCGGTGCAGCGCACCGAGTTTTCCGAGCAGATGGGCGAACGCACTCAATGAATCGTGCAATAATGCGTAGGTTTAGCAGCAGCGTAATGTAATGCAGTCGACGCAACCACCGGAAAATGAAGTCCTAACTTCTTATGAACAATAGTAGGCGTCAAAATAAGACATGTACGGCCTTACATATTACAGCACTGCTGCGAGGATTCCGTGAGGGCATCCACCTTTTCACTGAGAAGCGAAAACCGTGTTTGGTCAATGGTAGTCGTACAGCTGCCAATACTGATGGTTAGTCCGGTAGTTGGTTAATGAACCCCTTCCCCCTCTGGTCCCAGCCAGTTTTTGGGATATGTGGAAGATTTTCTGAAAAAATGGTAGGGAGTATGGAAGCTCGTGCATAAGGTTCATTTTAACGTATGGCGGCCACGCTCTTGGTTTGGGAGAGCTGCAATCATGTTTTTGTTCAGCACAGGACGACATAACAGTTGCCCTAAATGCAGATATTCCACGAACAACGCACACACGGTACAGCATTGTTGTGTGAAACACATAGGGGGTCGTACTTTTCCGCTCGGGAAGTGGGGGGGGGTCGGTATGAGCGTTCGAGAGAGAATTGCCGCGTTGAGAAAAATTTTCCCGGTTGTTGACTTCTCGTGATTTTTCCTGTTTCATGTGTACTGCATAATCCCATCCCCTGTTCGACTGCAAAATTTTCGGGAAAAGTAGAAAAATTTACGGTGAGTTCCAGAAAAGGTGGTAGGAAGTTGGGGATAATCCAAAAACTTTCTTCGTTTCACATTATCTATGTACCCTCACCCCCCCCTCCCCTCCCTCCCCTTCGAGCGAAAATTTTGGGTGAAAATTGAAAGTGTGGAAACGGTAGGTAGGAGTTGGGGAGGGGGGAGGGTCGTACCGAACCCTCTTTTAGGTGATGCGGACTCGTACTGACACCCTCCCCGGGCTAACTCGGGGTGGTTGTGTCGTTAGCACGGTGCTGCACCCTGAACACACTCACTTTCGAAGCAACCACGCCCCCTCTCCCCACCGACTTCCGGGATATGGAGTGCTCACACGAATCCTCGCGTGTGATCCACAATGTACGGCGTGTCTTGTGGGTGAAGCTGACCGTTATATTTGGTCGATAGAGCGTCGTACTAGAAAAGGAAGTTGGATTGGTCGACTGGAGGGGAGTGTATTTTGCAAGAACTTCCGTAAAAGCGAGACGTGCCTCCTTTACCCATCTCCTCAGAATAAACCGCACCTTTCAAGGAAACCTGTTCAAAATAACCGATAGCGCTCGAGTGGAAAGTTGGGAGTTTCCTCGACGTCGAAAAAAGAATATATTAGCTTCTATAATATGTTCCACAATGAGAGAAAGGTGAGCCCGAGCTATGCTAAAATAGCCTAAACCTGCTCGTATACTAAGGGAAGAACGATTACCTCCTCTTGATTGCTGCAGTATTTGTGGGTATATAAGCGGAACCAAAATCAAAACACATGTATACCCATCTTTCACACGACCAACATTATTCATGAACATTCTTGTCCTCTCTACACTAGTTGCTTCGGCTTGCATCACGTTAGCTAGCAGTAGGTTACCCAGTCATTGAAATTTGGAATTTTTCAGAATTTTCACTATAAGATGCTAAATTTTTGAGTTTCAGGTCCCTGGGGTTACGGTTACGGATACGGCGATAGTGGCCACGATTATCATGATCACGATCATGATCACTCATATGACAAAGGTTATATAAAAGGATTCGATCGAAAGGCATTCGGTGAATTTGGTAGTCACAAGTATGGCGGATGGGGAAGTTATGCCAAGGGAGAAGAGCGCGGATCATTCTACGGTAATTTCAGCGATTCAGTTTCGATCAGAATTTTCAGAAACCCATCACTAGGATCTGAATACGATAATGATAACGGCCATGGAGGATATGGCGATGAGCACCACGGCCGCGGTTTTAAGTACGGTCATGGGCCATTCCATCATGACCATGGTGACCATTTCTTTGGACATGGCATGCCGAATGGATATAATAAAGGTAATTACAATACATATCCCAGCAACAGTTCTAGTCCCTATGGGGTGCCCATGAGAGCAAGTATAGCGTATAGCCGGGCTGAATAATTGCGGGTATGTGATAAGAGAATCGTAAGTCGCCGCGCTGGTACGAGTGGCCGGCGGTGCTGCCTGCCATTCGGCAGAATGATAGTTCGCAGCCGTGTATACGATGTGCTAACGCCAACGCTTTTTTCTAGCAAAAGTACCCGAGCAGGAGAGATCATAATTCAGGAAGCTTAGCCTTCTTACCCTTGCAGAATATCTGCCGCGCCCTTTACCACGCGACCTGCCGCACGCGACGGCGCGGCCATTTACGATTGTCCTGACCGTCTCCACTGAGAGTTAAGCTTCGAATTCTGGCCAAAGTAAGGACTACTGCTAACCAATAAAATAAGAAGTCCTATAGAGCACCAACTTTTACCCTACTGATGATTATCAACTACAAGCGCAGTTCAGCGACGGGGGGAGGGGCATGCTGCACTTTCATTGCTCCCCTACTTCCGGTTTGCATACTTCACCTGTGAACTCCCGTGAAGCTGAAGCGAGGTCATCGAGCCACAATGGTGAAAACTGCCAACTCACGAAGAGGCTCTCTACATGGGTTTACACGTCGATGGGAAGTAGCAAAAGTGCAGAATACCCCCCCCCCCGGTCCCCGCAGGGCGCCTTAACTATGCAATGATCTTATTAATTTCAGGATATGTACATTTCTTCTAACGGACGTATCAGTCACTCATGTTTTCTTGGTCCAAGGCTATGGCTACATAATATCACAAACAGAAGAAAAATTGAAGAATTGCTTTGACTCCAAGATAAAAATGCGCAAACAAGTCGAGTTTTTCATCAAGTCCTCATTTGGACTACAGAAAAATCTATTTTGCTTGCAGAAACTGAGATCCAGAGGTCAAAGAAAACATGAATAATACGGGGAGTAAAGTACGAAGTTGAATTTTTGCTCTTTATCTCCAGATTGGAAAGAGATGGTGTGCAACAGAGGTGCTTTTGTCAGGCAAAAGCTCCAAGATGTTAATCTTAGAGAAGCAGTCAGGAGAAACTGTGGGCGTCTAGCTAGAGCTAGTTACGGGGCGATACAGGCCGCAGCGACTCTGGTGGTCCGCCTTATTCCATGTTTGAGCCTGGGGGAAGGAAGATATGATACCTGGACGATGGAAGAGCGCGGGCGACCAGATTCGGCGTGATTGCCTTACTCTCAAACCTGGCCCTCTGAACTACGTCAGCAAAGCTGCGAAGCAACGAAGACGGAATTAAGCTTGTGTTGGCGATACTTTATCTAGTGGCAAGAGTAAGTGCCTACGGACCATCAAGTCTCTGAACTCTGAACTACACTCACGTACAGTCTTGTTCATAGTTGATGTTGGCGCCTTCAAAGGGAATTTCGACAGGTGCGGAGTCAACCCTTTTCCACCAATCGTTGTCGCTTGAGAACTTCAACAACTGGCGGAGAACGGGATGGCGACCCTCAAAATTCAGCACCCATTACAGGCCCCAGCATCCGCTGCGAACATGACTGTATTGTCAGCGCTTTCTTATCCCGTTTTGTTGAAGGAACTCCAGCTCATACCTATCAAAAAGAAACAGCACCATTACTCGAATCACCACCATTACTAATAGTAAGGAAACCAGCAACTTTCTAGGACTCATCACCCTCGTCACTGTCAAGAGGGGAAGAAGGTCCAAAAAAGTTTCGAAGCAGTATTCCGACCAAAAACATTACACTCAAATCACGAAACCGCGTCTAGTGAAAACTTAGCGCCCATGCGACAATGGGTTTTTATGCTCGCGTAGTCGCTTGACTCTTTGTGAAAAGTCCTGTTTTCACACATTGCTAGCTAATCAATAACTGGGCCAGCTACTTTTTCACGGTTATTGTTCGACGCTACATTCTATGGAAAAAACTGTTCGGAATTTATGGAAGCTTGAGCCAATCTCTCCTGCTCCAGCTATCCAAAAAAGATCATGAAGACAACGCCGCACCTGAGACTGTGTTCGTTTTCAGGTGGATATCCGATCAATCAGTACAGAAAAAAAAACAGAGAAAAGTGAATCGCAACACGCTTTCAGGGAGGACGCTACATATATGAGAACAGAAAAATTCTAGAAACCAGAAACGTTATTCAAGGTAAATGGAAAGGAAATAAGGCACAGTTCGGTAAGGGGGGGGGGGAATTTGCGCTTTTGCTACTTCACTAGTTCCGGTTTACAGTTCTAACTCTGGTAAAACCTGTGAACTCTGGTTTCACCAACGATGGAGCAAGCCCGTCGAGTCACCATATCAAAACTATTCAACTCCTAAGATCTCATGAAGTAGCTCTCTAAAGAGAAGGGATAATTTCATCGGTTCGAATCAGCCTGTAGTAAGCACTAGTAAGAGAGGGTAATGCCTTTGTGCAGCTTCCGGCTCAGGGCACGAACGTGGTTTCCGTGCCAGGACACGTGTGCAACGGAAGCTGAACTACCTCCTTTTTTCTATCTTCCCCCTCCCTCAATATTTCTTACTTGCTAAATTTTCCAAACAACTCAATGATTCTTCTTCTGGAAAAGGTTCTAACAGCTGTGGCTTTAAATAATTACAAACGTCAGCACATGACCGTATCAGGCTGATTGTCATGGAACACCTGGTACTAGAGCTACCGAACTTTACAGAGCGGCGACCTTACAGTAACTCGAGGCAGAAAAGGGAAACGCAGAGTACTGTACACTCCATATCTGAAGACAGCAAGAGACGTGGCTGCAAGAGCGGCAAGCGCACCATCGGGAAGACTTTAGAAATGAAACGTTAGGTGTAGAATGGAGCAGTGGGCGGAGCATTGCCTCCGCCGCAAACATCTGGTGTTAATGCATGTTTGAGCCGTGAAAGGGATGCATCCGGACAAAAGAAAGGTGGAGACGTACGACCAAGAGAGGAACGTTGGGAAGGAATTACATAGTAGTTGAAGAAACGGTTCTTTCGCCCTCCGATATGAACTACTAGAAGAGAAAGCTTCCACATTTGACCAATGCCTCTTTGAAAGGCCCCGCACATTCTTCTTCCACATGTGGCTTACTGAATACGATTGGCCTATACAATGACTTGCGGGACCAGCCGATGTAAAATCAATGGTTTTTATCTCCCAGACGAATCTAGCATCGATTCACCGTCCAAAGAGGGTAGAAGACTTGACTGGCATGGGCGGGAGCCGACAGGAAATTTGATCCCCATACTAAGCGCATGGTAAGCGGGCCACTCGTCCTACACCGTTCTGCCTCGTTCCTGTTATGACCACAATATCTTATCAGGATCATCAAAGCATCTCGAGAGCATACAATCTCAAAGGGCAGAAAAAAGGATCCTCGAGGCATGTCAGGTTGAAATTAATTATCTACAGCGTAGTTCGGTTTGGAAGGGGCACCGAATAGTGGGCATATGACAAGAGAATCGTATTTTGCCGCGCTGGCCAGCGTGACCGGCAACGCAGCGCGACGAAAGACGTGAATCCCGCCTAGCCATTAGAATTTGAAAATCAAAGGGACGGCAGAGTATGTCAATGAATCCCGCTAGCCGTGAGCGGTTCTGGTCGTGAGGTTCTTCATATCTCTAACACAATCTACTGTGTAAGAAATGGCGAAAAACATGTGAACTGTGTCGGAAATATGAGAAAAATAAAAAAATATGGAAGATTCCCCACGAGTTGCGCTGCTCTAATCGAGAAACTGACGCACCAGTTTGACGTTTCCTGCGCTCGTTCGCCCTTAAGCGCGCGACGGCTTGCGACAAGCTGCGAGTCCCTTTTCCGTCCCTCCCCCCCCCCCCCTGCGAATGTTAGTCAGCTGAGCCTTCGAACAGCGTCACCTCGTGAACACCTGTACATTCTCGCGACCAAAGTAGCACCACTACTGTCATTTCGCCAGCCTGACCGTTAGTTAATCAGACATCTTATTTGAAGATAGAAGACCAAATCACCACGAAAGTGTACTAAATAAAGTGGAAAAGTGCCCCCTCCTAGGAAAACCCCGAAATAGCGCCAGCCATCTACCTGAAGTTCATCGGAAAATATCTGGCTCTACACACCAAAAAATACAGCGATACCTGCAGTCCGATAGTTGTGGACGCTTTAAGCCGTAGCAGACAATCTCTATTCATTTCCCCACCAGTAGCCTTTAAATGATCCGGCAAGCCTCCAAAACCCAACTTATCAAGCAAGGGGCACCCTACCATACACTTCTCCAAACAGGGAGCACCAACGTAAAAATGATTCTCTCCGTTATTCGCTTTATGATAGACGGATAAGCGAGATGACCTACGTATAACAGCAGCAGAAAGCTACGTGACTGTAAACAACCAAAAAACTGAAACCTGTCTTACTGAACAGTAAAAACTACTGCCATTCCTCATCAAAACGCTTCAGCTAGACCGCCTATGCTCGCAGCTATATAAGCCACGTGATTCTGTGGCCCAGTCACATCCTCAGTCGAAGCTGGTACTTTCCCACTCCTACCATGAACTTGCCTCTGTAGTAGTTACACTAGCCGCCACTGGCCTGCCCGCGGACCGTTCAATATGTACATGGTAAGTTCTCTTCAATCACCCAGAAAATGTATTTGACAAACTTGGGCCAGATCGACTATTATTGGGCCCAATTTTGAATAACCTATTACTTCGCGGCCTGGGCGGCCGGGCCCCGAATGACAGTGCTGTTAGCGAAGCTCCCTGTGAAGCAACTATATCACACACACTTACCACGTTGTTTTGAGTCAACAGCTTTACCCCAGAGTTTTACAGGTTTTGCCACAATAATAAAGACCTCCTTAAAGTTAACCGTAAATTGGCAAGAGAAGGTGGGACGATTTAAAGTGCCCCTTCGTCGGTGAGATATAGGCGCCATTATTTCGAGTTGCAAGGATGAATGATAAAAGTAATTTTCAGAAGAAACACTACGGTTACGGCTCTTGGCGAATACGGTGAAGGCCACCACGGAACACGATCATGACTCGTCCTACAACACAGGGCTTCACAAAAGGTTTCCGAGCAAAGGAAAGCTAAAATTATATGGTGACTACGGTAGCCAACAAGTACGTGGATGGGGGAAGCTATGCCAAAGCGCCGAGGAGCAATGCGATCGCACTATCGTAACCCGTTTATTGATCATTTTAATCGCTATTTCTCTTCCATATGACTTATAGACCATTCTTATAGGATCCGAAGATATGACAAAGGCCGGAATAAGCCAGCGGAAAACCCATGGTCATTGGAAGGACATGGTGAAGCGATACGAATATCACGTACGCGGCCACGACGGCACCATGGTCACAGCGAATCATGACCACGATCATGATCATGGATACCGGTCACCACGTCCATTTTCAAATCATGATAGTCATCATGGTGATCATGATCACCTACTGAGGATATGGCAATGCCCTATGGACATCAATGGCCATGACAACTATGGTGCAGTCCCTGATTTCTACAGTCTTGTCACTCTAAGGATGCTGGGCGTGTCAAGAGGGCTGGGCCACTCGCGCGTGGTAACAGCCTCCCATAAAATTGTTCGGTGGGGCTTGGCGACTTCGACAGAGAGCGGTGGCGAAACCCCCATGTCAATCCACACAGTAGGCGAATTACTTTACCATGGACCACGCATATTGTTATTTTTTTAGCCCCACACGACGCACCCATGGCACACGCATTATCATGCGACACGATCATTACTGAGCAGATAGCTAAATTGCTACAGCTAGATATAATGAATCAGAGCTTGTAGCCCTTTAACTTATTGTGATGTAAAATTAAAGATTCAATACATCACATCAGTGTATCAATACGGATCCCTAAAGACATACTTCGACTATAGTAACAGTACATGCTAAATGATCCGCGCAACAGGTACACCTATAATTATGGGAGGACCCTCACCTCCCCCCCCATCCCGTCCCCACACTGGGACGGCGAGAGGGGCGTGCGGGGAGTGGATCGGGTCGTAAACTCGTCCTGTGCGTGAACAGAAGGACGCTGTCTTAATATCTTGAAAGAAACGTTCAAAGAACCCAAAACCTAAAGTCTTCGCCGCGTGGATTAAATCCTTGTAGCGGATGCCGGCGAAACATTCTACTACCGCCATTCACAATAAGTAAAGGCTTACTGTATACGCACCGTCGCGCTTATAAAGCTCCAACTTGTGCCCGCCAGCCGATGAACAAGTCAGTGTTCCCATCCATCTCCAAACAACTCTTAGGCACAATTCACCGTCCCTGGGAAGCGCAAAGGACTTGTGGCCTGAGCGGCGAGCGGTGTTTGGGGATATGGACGCACTGCGACTGACACACCTCCGTCTCGAAAGAATCCTTCGTGCAACTGGCTTAATTTTTTACCATTTCGATGAGTCCCTGCCGCCTCGGCAAGATCCACATCTCTTAGACGTGAAAAAGATTGGGCGGCGGGGCGCCCAAAATTCACAAACTATTTGGCGAAGATTCCGGTGATGCCACCCGTTACGTGGCGAATTTCAGTAACGGGCTGTGGCAGGCTAGTAAGTGAAGACGGGCTGCTTAGCGGAAGAGGAAATGAGGCTGAAGAGCGATCGTACTCTCACCGCCATGTCAATCTATCCCTGATGCTGAAACCCTAGTCACGCCTGCCACTGAAGGAGGAACTGGAAGCGTCCTCCAGCGGCGAGAAACCCGGAAGAAAATCCTCTCTAATTCATATTCGGGACGGTCCGAGGGACCGTTGGGCGTAGATGTTCGCCTCGGATCGTCGACTTTTCCGAAACGACCCTGCTTGCACATAATTCCGGTGGGCCGCAACAACATATCCAATGGCTCTATCCTCGCAGGTACTGGAAATATGACCCGCCACTTCTGAGCAAAATACCATGCGGCAGCTGGCAGTAGCGCGGCGTTTGCCGATCTTGCGCATCCCAAGACTCAAAAGTAAACCGGCTCGACTGCTATGCACACCCAGAACCCGAGGTTCTAGTGCCCACCGGACAATGACACAAAAACGGGTCACTTTTATGCCGCGCCCACCCCCCGTCCCTAAAGTATACGCCCCAAGAATTAGGGAGCCCTGGCAGCTAACCCCTGCTCTGCAACCCTCCCCTAGCAGAATAACCCACGATTAATTTTCGCAGCCCGACACAAAAAATATGCGCGGGTATTCGCGGGACGAACGGAACCGGGCGGGGTAAACTACTGTCCTCTGCGGCGCTGAATACCCGCCCGAGAGCGCTCAGCCTATCCTCCTCAGCATACCTATCTTTAGATTCAAATCAATTTGAGTAGGAAAGGTTATATATTGCAGAACGTGTTCACAAAGTTCCTGGACAGAGAGTACCCAGTACATACAGCTCCGGCTTAAGCTCGATAGCGCATCAGTGCTAACGGAGTGATCGTGAAGGAATCGTAAGCAAAAATTATTGCCTGAAAAGCCGCGTGGAAGACACTCGCTCATCTTAAGCAGTAGCAGCTGAATCAGAGCATCTCACGCAGCGTGCCCCGAGTAAAGGCACTTGGGTATGGAGCGCATATTAGCGCGCCCCTCAGCGGCATTGTCCTTGCAGTCACGTTTTAATGCTTGTGGTGGCCCCGGACTGCCACCGCAAAGCGCAAACGCTAGCCTGTCGCGAAGCAAGCTCCCCTCTTACAAGGCAAGCTCTGAATTCACAGCGCGCGGCTCGACAATTAACGAAATAGGAACGCCACGCACAAAATAAAATCGATAAATTGCGGCCGAATTACCGACTAAACAACAGGCCGACCGCTTGGCAGCCGTACCCCATCCAGAGGAAAAAGCCCTGTTTCGGCTGGCGGGGGATGTCTCTGACGATGTATTCAGGTGGCGGCTCTAGTGTCGCTGTGCCTAAGAGCCGTTCCCAACCGATGGAAGTGGCAAGCAAAATTGTTGCGAAAACGGGCAGCACGCCACGCCACAATCCGCGGCCACATGATAGGCCCCGAAGCGATGAAGCTACTGCCTACCTGAACCCGCCCAACTGCCCAAACTGCGAGGATATTAGGGGGTTAGTTGAGAGTGCCTGCTAAGCGACTCGCCAACCTTTACGCATGCCACCAAAAATCATCTCGGCAGGCAATGTTACCACCAACTTCTGTTATTTCCCATGAAAATCAAAAAAGTAACACATAGGGAGCAAACTGAACCGCAAAAACCGCCGATAAACTAGTTGAAACCCCGGCGCTACTCTGAGAGCTACGAACGCTACATTTGACGGCCGATCTTGGCCTCAGCAGCACACACCGAACATCTGCTGGTGCTGCCTCCATCATGCATGAAAGTAATAGCTGCATACAATCAAGAATATCCTGGTCATCAACGGCGCTCATCAACGGGAAACGACCGCTCGAATCCTGAAAACAATGAACATCGAAGACAAAAAAATCAAGAAAATCGTTATTTTATTCTACTTTTCACGCTTTTGTTTACCGCTCTTTCGTGAAAAATATATATGGGAGAACATTTCCTCATCTCTTATTTTTGAGGCGTTCAAAGAAACATACCTTGATCCACATAGAATCGCTGCCGTATGGAACAAAGCTCAGCATGAATTCGATCAAGCCATTCCTCAGCGCTATGTGTAAAGCTCTGCAATTGCATTATGAAAAATAAGCGGATCTGTTCGAATGATGCCGGAAAAACGGGCTTCACATATCTTTAGTCCAAGGAACAAGCAATCATCCAGCATCAAATCATATGTTTCAAGAATTGTCTATGCAAAACGATTTTAAACCACTCCCACCCCTTCACGAATGTGAATATTTTCGCCCTCTCGATACACATCGGTTTCATGGAAGCATATGTACGCATTTAAAGTCACAGTTGAGTCATCTCTGAGGACTTCCTTGCCGTGTATAGAGAGCCGCAGTAGCAAGCCACTCACTCCAGTCAGAGGTGCACAGGAACGAGGCTGAAAAGTCGTGATGCCCGGATGCCGTCTCGATACTCTGCCCGCTCTGCCGCACGACCAGCCACACGCCTAAGCATGGCCAAACGCGCTACTTGTCTGCGCTCCCTCGCTTCTGTGTCCTCCAGCAAATGCGTGTTTCTTTGTGGGATCTCGGTATCGACGCAAGTACTGCAACTTGAGGATAACGCGAGATGGATTATAGAGCGAATACCAGGGTACCACTACCCATCAGCTTTGTTCCCGTACACTTTTGAGCTCAGAAAGTGGCACGCTGCACTTCCCCTCCAACTTGAAAACAAGCGTCCTTGAAAATGAGGGTACTGCTATCTTCGAAGACTGCTCCTTAGGTTACAGTGATTGAGAGTCGAACGTGGGGTAGTGGCAAGTGGCACCGCTTATGCTGTGCTCGATCTTGCGGCTCTACATCAGAGTCTCCCGTTCGCGCAGACGCAAGACGTCCTCTACCCGAGAGGCAAGCTAATCGATAGAAGAATTGCACAGCGGGAAGAAACTCACTGAAGTCCCAGATCGGCTGCCCCAAACGCAACATAAGTTTGGACCAGCATCAAAAATCCGCAGTACAATTTATGAATGGCGAGGCAGAAGCACGGCGCCCACCATGAATGGGATGGCGCGGAATATTTCATTCTTTCTCATTCCTTCAAATCAGGCGAGACTGAACTATCATGGCGTTCGTCCCGATACCAGCAGCCAAGGTCATGTCTTACACTGAGGATCTCCAAGGGTCGTAATTGGTGCAAACCGCCATTAGGGAACCCAGTGTAACTGGATGTGGAGGGGAATTAATTGGCCTATTATTTTGGCCTGATACGCAAATTCCTAAACTGTCTGGGGTTTTCCCTCTCTCACACGTACCATCTCCCCCCCCCCCCCCTTACTTCCATTCCTGTTCCTTGGCTGGGTTGTGTGTGGTAGCGAAAGCTAGGTTTGACGCGGACGTAGCCTGCTCCTCATAAGCTTTGGATTGCGGCACGGGCGTATCCTCCCAGGGGTCTTTCACAGAGCCTGAAAAATATAGTCAATGGTCCAATCAAAGGAAAAACTGACGTTTCGCCATTAATTGGTTGGTCGCGTTACAGATTTTCTCGCTTCGAAATCATACTTGGCCAAGTGGTTCGCCAAAACCTGAACATTTCATCATTGGGAGGCTTCTTAGCCCTGACGAGGTATCCCAGAACACACCTTTCCACATTCCTCGCTCTTACTCAGACAACAATGGTGCAAAGCTGTATTGTTATTGCAGTCTTTCTTTGATACATCTGCTCCATTGAGTAAAAGATACTCTGAAAAAATACTCTCAATCACATAAGAGAGAAAAACGCGTTGGAGGGGAGCAAACATAACTTACCAACAACATGTACTGATGACGCCTCCTTTACTGCATACATCAGAGCTGTAGCACCGTTTTCATCGGCCGCTTCTAGCTCCACGCCTTTTTCAATCAGGTACTGTACACACTGGTAATGGCCTCTCCAAGACGCCAGATGCAAAGCAGTTCGCCCGCGAGGATCCCGTGCAAGGACCAATCTCGGTTCTCTCTGAAGCACATCTGATTACAATCAGATTAATCAACTCCTATTGCTCTTCAAGGAAGGGGGGGGAGGGCAGGTCATGTGATTTATGGGGAAATGGCGGAGCTTACCACGCACGCCTCCCAGGATCTGATTCTAGGTCAAACTTCACACCAGCCAAACGGCTCCCCATCCTCGTGGAGGTGTCTAACCCTTTCCGCGGATGGGTTCAGTTCCCCTGCGTCGTGCTAATCGTGAACGTAGCCTTGTGGCGATCCCCTGCACCTCCCAGAAAGTCACACACGACCTCATGTAGCAGACTGCGCGACACACGCTTGCTCCTGGGCTCAGTGACAAGGGTTTCGACACCACTGGCACAACTCCCCAATCAGATTCCGCCCATGCGAACCGATCCTTTCCCATTTTTCATCAGCTACAGGTCTATAAAGGTTTCAATCCATGACTACTTTGTACTGTTGAGTAAGTCACCCTTTATAAAAAACAGTCACTCTTAGAAAAACAGAAAAATAAGAACTGACCTCCAATAAGTATATGACGCTGGACAAATAACCGAAATACGCCGCGAATAATAGACCAGCTCGTCCATAGCTCGGTATCTCAACTTCTGATTTGTCTACTGCTGCTGACGCTGTAAAGAACACATATGAATCAACCATCAATTTGAAACCACCCACATATTACAGCAAGGACTTCGAAACTGGTTGGCAAATTCAACTGCCAGAGGAACCAGTAGGACAGGAGCCTGGAATTCATAATTTTCTCAATATTTATGCTCAGAATTTTGAGACACACTTGCAATCGCAGGGTCGCACACTGCCGCGCTCCGCTTACTCCGTCATCCTGTCCAATCAAATCAAACGATTTAAACCAGGGTTGATCACATGAACTATACAGTAATTCTTTAAATTTAACAAAGCTACAAAGAACAAGGGTGAAAGGGTGGGAGACTGACAGAATGCGTCAATACCAATATAAATTATTAATTTTCAAAAACAGCGCGCAAAACAGATATTTAATGAAATATTTTTCCAGAGCATTAGGGTCCATAGTTTCATTTGCATCCCGCAAAATAGAAGCACTTCCTGGTTAGACGGGATTTGATTATCGTGTGCCACGTTCATGGCACGGGAAATCAAATCCGGATCGCATTATGCCTGGAACAAGAATGCTTTCATGCTGGCGGTTGACTGACTGGTATTGAACTAGAGAGGGAGGGTGAATGACTTTGGATGGTCCCAAAAATCATACCATTGCCCGAATATACGTTAAAGGCGAGTACCAAATGAGACCAAGTCGTATTCGTGGCGCCCATCATCCGACAGACCATGGGGACTGATTGGGACGGATCAGTGTCAAACTCTATCCTTTCAACTAAAAATTCCTATGATCAGTCAAAAACAACGTTCTCGACGCAGGACTGACCGTTTTTGCAACCACTCCATTACAAAAACCGGCGTAGTTCGGCTTGGTGGGGGCATTTGCTAGTTCTCATGTCACTACCAGCATTTGCGGAGACCTGTCAACCCCTGTGAAGATAATAGGTGTGAAGGTGCAATAGCAGGGGCTTCTTTTGCACTTCAAATAATTTATAGGTCTATCGGAGCATGTCGGGTGTTGGGAAATCCCCGACGAAGGGGGGGGGGGGTCGGGGTCGTCTTTGATAAGTACAGGGAGGTGGGGGTCGTATTTGGTCAGAGAAAATTGTTTCAATAGATGGTTCCCTGTTTCCACGCTACTCGCATCTTTGGAGGAATTCTGTGGGGGACTCGTATTGCCTTCCCCCCTCTCCCACTCGGGCAAAATTTTTTAGGAAAAAAATGGGAAAATTTTTGGGAAATTTTGGAAATAGGTAGGGAGCTGGCAAGAAATGTCAAGGAAGGGAAGAGGGGGTCAATATTTTACGGGAATTTCCCCCAACAGCAGGACGGGCCCTGAGTACAATAGGAACAAGCAACAGTGCTATGTGCTCCCCTCCCCCTTTAGCCGATAAGCGTTCAAAAATCGAAAAGGTAGTTCCCGACGTCTTAAATCCTTTCTATCGAAGAAGTCCCGGTGTCAGTTGGCAGTTGATTCGTTCCGATCAGAATTCAGAATTGAGCCATCATAAGTCAATCTGGAGCGCTCAATGGAACGTTGAGGCTCGACAAGTGCTTCGTAAAAAGTAAGTTTCAAAGAAACGAGGCTGCAATAGCCCCAGAGACAAAGTGTACTGGTCCAGAAAACACACGTCACTCCTCACATCAACAATGCTTGAGCAACGATGCGGATTAATGGCCAAAGGAAGCATCGAAACAACATGTTAAACTTCAACGACAATGCTGCGGAAGAAACCTCGATGTTTGGGAACGGGAACTTCCAAATCTCAAAATGGGCTAAACAAAAACGTTCGGAGTCAAAAACAAGGGGCTTGATAGGCTATGGCTTGTACAGCTCTCTTAGACTGGTCTAGGTTTCAGCTGCTCGACTGTCGATCAGCTGATAATGACCAGCGCATTTGCCGCCATCTGTTCAGTCACAATTGATGCGCTCGCCGAACTGTTTATTGAGTTAAACAAAGCCAACATCGATACGGCGCTGAACAATGGCCCCACCAACGCCACACACCAATGTAATGAGATTCCCGGATTCACTCTTCCCAAATTAAAAGGTGGCGACCTTTCCAGTTTCATTCTTGAAACCACACGTCCACGTCCTGCCGTTGGCGAAGAATTTTTGCAAAATTTGACCCCTCTCACAACTTCTTTGCTATGACCCCCTTGACCATTTCCATCCAACCTACGATTTTTCCACTTTCCTGTCACCTCAATTAGGATCTCTCCAGAAATCCTTAACTTTCTTCTATAATCGAGAGGAAAGGGAGCGAAGTAATAACCCAAAACATTTTTCTCGAATACAATAACGCCCCCTCCAGTGACCAATGACGACCCTTTCCCCAGGGGATCCCAACACACGACATGTCCTGATCCTTATACCACTATTAATCTGTGCAAAAGGAAAAAGGATGAAATCTGTCAAAACGGGGACCGATATGGTCAAATTTTTCAGAACGAGCAACGCGTTTAGCGACAAGTGCGCAATGGTAACCACTAGGGGGGGGGGGGCTGAAACCAAGTGGAGGAAATCCGGATGTGGGGGGGGGGGGGGGTACGAGACACAAAACTTTGCGTCTTGACACATTCTAGACAGCTTACAGATTCATATACTACTATCATCGAGGGTTGATTCTGAGAGCATGACAACAATCTTTTCCCAAATAATGCCATATAACAACCACCTACTCAGAAGTCGGACCGGAGCAGTACGTGGAAATTTGTGGGGGGGGGGGGGGCGTATTCGGTCGCTTGAGGAGGGGGAATGCTGTAACTGACTTAAAAAAATTTTTGATAAAATGACTTTCCTGTTTCCCCCCCCCCCCCACTCACAGCTGTGGCGCTGAAATTTACAATACGATTACTCTTTCGATAACTGAATTTAGCTTTGTTCGGTAGCGACACCCCATCCTCGCTGGCCAGCAAAATTCCGAAAACGACTTACCGAAACTTTTCCTCAGCAATGGGAAGAGCGTGACTCAGATACCGACCAGAGACTACAGATAAGGATTGAAGAGGCAAGAACCCAAAATTGCAGAAAGGAAGATGAAATGAGTGGGCTGTTCAAGTGGTGGTCAAAGATGATGTAATAAAAGGAAGCAGTCCTCGCTTCCTCCTTTTCGCCGAAAATGCGTTCAGCACACTACACGTGCTCTTCATTATGTTTTTTTTCGGCAATGTCCACGAGGAAAATGCACCAATTCTCCCAACCTCGCTATAAGAATCGATTTTCAGGAGAAAAATGGCCCCATGTCACGAGACATATAGCTCCATGAATGGGGCCATTTTTCATAGAAAATTAGCCACAGACACCACGTAAGTGCGCTATTCATCTTCAACAATAGTGAAGCAGCCAACAGATAAGGCAAAAAGCTCGTACAATGTCAACAAAAAGGGCTTCTTCTACCGCTAAATAGAATTTTGATCAAAATAAGCGCTGAATTTCAAAGAGTAGGGCCGTAAAGGGCGAGCAGGGCATGACTTTTCCAAGAAACTGCACCATAGCTCCTCAAGTGTATTTTCAGCAAAGAAAATGTCCAGCGTGGATTCTTACCGCCAAGAGATTTTGAAAACGTCAGAACGGCGCATATGAAAAAGGGCAGCACGTTAGGCATTGATTACTTCCCTATGAGGATGCGCCACGCATTTCCCCTGCATTCGCGATCGTAATTACTTTCCAATGCAATTCAGCCAGATCAGGCTTTCCCCTTTCCAGTAAGCCCTTTCAGGCAAGACCGAAGGATATTAAAGACTTGGCTGGCCCGGATGTGAACCATTTCCAATGATACTTGGGATCTGACTGAAGTAAGCAACGCTACTGTACCCCCCCCCCTCTCACCCCAATTCACCCTTCAGATATACCTTGATGACGTTACTGCAAATTCTATTATCTAACAGATATAGGACCAGAGCACGTCGTAAGTTGGAAATCCTCTGTGGAAGGGGTCGTATTTGGTCGCTGGAGGGGAGGGCAATCGTGTTTGCGTTGAAAAAAAAACGTTTCCAGTTGTTGACTTCACTTGATTTTCCCGTTTCACTGGCGCTCGCGGCTCCTTCCTCCTCCTTGCTCGACGGTAGTTTTTCTTTCATTTCTTCTCCCTGGGAAAATTGGAGAATCGCTCCGCAAAAAAATGGCGTGCATGCAGAGAGAGGGGAGATGTGAGGCGAGGTATAGGAAAGAGAGTTGTTCCAAAGGAGTAAATTCTGAAGGGGAGGTTTGTATTTGCAAAAAAAATTTTCTACACAACAAGACCTGTCTTATATGGGACGTTTCTGCGAGGTTATTACATGAACGACTCACCGTTTCCCAAATCTGCATCAATAGATGTTTTGCGAGATGTTGATGATCGTGAATATCCTAGGGCTGAATCGGGACTTGAACGTCGAGAGAAGGGATCCTGCAGCAGCGCTTCGAGAACAGGAAGCTGAAAGCGAAGACCCACTAATAATGTTTCTATCGACTCAAACCCTAAGCTAATTAAGGCCCAGATAGAAACATGATCTCTGTGTAGAGTTCCAGTACTACGGGAGGAGAAAGTACAAAAATGGGACCGAAAACTTTGATTAGTGGAAACAGTCAGGAGCACCAATCGGGGATAAGGATTGGACCACTACCTCCTCCTATTCCTCCTCCTGCGCTATTATAATTACATATCTATGAGACGCGCTAGGTGTCTAGCTGCGCACTTCATTTGAGTAGGGCTTGGGATGGATTATTCGTGAGATATTTCAGTTTGAGGAACTGTCATCTTGTCATGTGTTGAACAGAAGAAATATCCCGCCGAAAGCGCAGCCGCCGTCACGCCCATTTCGAAGTACGCAGCCACGCCTACGGCATCTCAGAGCTTTGGAGTACGCTTGTAGATAACGTCATGAAGAACAGTTGTGGCGCGGGACACTTAGTATCCTTCCTGAATGTCGGAAAAACTCCTAACTCACGAAGTGAGCTTTTAAAAACTTGTAATCACGTGCAAAGTTTTACATGGGATGGATAATTTAAGTGACATAAATGGAAGCCGTCCTTATTCTTCTGTTCTCAAGTAAGCTAGCTCCTTTTAAGAGTTACCTTTAACCAACATGTTTCCTACGAAATAGTGGAATTTACGGCTCTTCGCGGGGTAGTCTATACAAACTTTTAGGTACCATTCGGTTTCCTCAACAAGCCGAACAGTGCTTCGACCGCCCTGAATGAAGATTACAACAACCTTTACAATCACCTTAAATCACCGAATGCTTTAGAATGGACCAAGGGTGTGATTTTTATATAGAGCCGCTCCGGGCTATCAAAGTCGCTTTACTTTCAATAGAATTACCAGGCGCTGTTTGGCGACGAGGAGGTGGGAGAGGGGGGACATTTTGTACTTTTGCTGCTTCACTGGTCCTAGTGAAATCTGTGAACTACTATAAAGCTGGAGCAAAGTCGTCGAGCCAGAATGGTGCAACTTGTCAACTCTTGTAGGTTCATGAAATAGCCCTCTAGATGGATCAACATGTCGAGGGAAGTAGCAAAGATACGAACGCCCCCCGTCGCCGAACTGCGTCCACTAAACAGAACCTCAGGCTGGGAAAGACAATGGTCAATATAGACCAAAAATGGCACAATGACATGCCCCCTCGGCAGAGCTGCATGAGCATAAACTTGTGATTACAAAAGATCACGACACTTCTACCCATCCCAGAAAAAAGGTTCCGTAAACAAAATCGTCACGAATAATTACTTTGTTATAGGCTGCCGCCCAATCAATCGGGGTAAATCCTCGATTATCCTGGGCTAGTCGGTTCGCTCCACATTGCATAAGCATTACCGCCGCCTCACTTTCACCAACTGCAGCCGCAACATGAAGTGGCGTCACGCCATTGACATCCCTGGAAGCCAACATACAACTGACGGAAAAACTTTGTGAATCTGGAGTACTAGCTTACCGAACGTTCGGATTACATCTCTCCAGCACTCTTATCAACAGTTCCTTATTACGGGAATAGACCGCTCTATGTGAATATCCTCGCCCCATGTTGTCGCATCGTTCCAGGTTACTCTTTCGGATCAATGGCCAGAACGGTCCTGACAATGACGTGAGAGATAACATGCCGCATGATCTGGAAATTGAGACTTGAATGCACACTCCCGGCTCAAAAACGGGAGCTGCGCGGCACAAATACCGATGACGCGGGGTAATTAACACAAAGGTGAAGAGAAAAGTAGAAAAAGCACATGAAAGCCCCTCATAGAACTCTACGCTGAACCGTTTTCGTAGGTGCATAAGGCAAAGGAAGGGCGTGCTCGGATGAGTTCTCTTAACTGTGGAGCTTCAAAATCTTAAGAAAAGCGTAAGTGGCGAAGAGATACCGTTTCTTCCTCGTGCAGGAGGTGAGCACCTTTTTAAACAAAAAAGGCAAAAAAGAAGAAAAAATGAGCAAAATTAAGAGCTGACTGAACAACTTCACAAATAGCCAGTAGTAATTAAGTAACAACAAACCTTCCCTTGGCATCTTTTCTGTTGACGCTGATTTTACTGAATTTGCGCAAAATCCAGTCAATGCACGCATTTTTACCGTTTGCGGCTGCGAAATGAAGTGGCGTCATCTCTGAATGACGTCACCGAAACTTTTCAAAAAACGAATACTCTCGAAGAAATTCAAATAACCAACCGTCCTTATCACGCCAAGTCAGGCAAAGTTCAGCACCTTGTTGACTAAGCAGTACTGCCGCAGGATCCAGGTGTCCTAGACAGTAGAGCTGCTCAAGATGTACCCACAGAGAAACGACTTAGAAGTGTGAGTAAAAAGGGAGTATAACATCCTAAGCTCACCATATTTCATCGCGTAATGCAGTGGTATTCGATTTTTCACATCCGTGTAGGCAAATAATGGTCGATCTACTAGTACACGCTTCTTCGCTGCTTTATCTACCCGCTTCTGAAGGCACAAAAGATTTGTCGGTTTGGTAAAAAATATAAAAATGTCACAAAACTTTATCTCTAAGGATATCTAACCACCGCGAGACAAACTTTTACTGCTTGAGGTACTGGCGAAATAGAGGGGAGGGGCCAAAAAAGATCATTCGGCCGAGTCACATATGAGCGAAGTTTTCGCAGCCCAGACAGAAGAAGTGATATGAGTACCAGGGCGGAGATACCAAGATCTCCTCTATAAGCAGGAGGCGGCTGCGGCCATTCACCTTCATGTACACCAAAATATGAAGTCATCTCCAGTCGCGGCCTCAGTGCAGAACGTCTTTGAATTCACGTGGCCTCCAACAGCTGCGCGAACTTCTTGAATGGAATCACCCATGGATAGCTACCTGCTGGAGACCAGTACTCTTGATCTGCAAAACCTCAAACATCGAGCAGCTCCGGCAACGTCGCTACGGTCCAGGACATCATCATCACCCCATTCACCAAGGCAAGGCGGGTTGATAGTGTGACCGGCCGTACCTGGAATGGATGACGATATTTTCTTCTTGGGCCCCAGATTGAGGGTGTGCGCTGGTGGCTACATCGAGCAACTCGAGAGAATATCCCATCTTCATTGTCGCCCGTACCTTCTTGGAAACTTTGTACTGCTACAGCGATTGGGTGACAACACATTTAATCGAAGGGCGTTTGGAAAATCTTTCGCCTACTTGGAATGGAAGAATGTTGAGTACCTGGAAAAGATGGAGTATTTAAGTGGGGTCCTGAACTAAACCCCTCAGTTACTCGGTTCGGGCGGAGCTCAACAGGGTGGTCTCACAGTGGCGGAGAAATCAACGATCTCGCTCAACTCCGGTACCCACTCACTTTCGGCGCGGCCGAATCTCTTGATGGCCGTCACTCCAGAAGGTTGTGGCGGAATATCATTATAGTATTTAATGTGCTCTTTAATATGGTAATAAAAATGTCCGATAAAAATTTAAAGGTGTAATTATAGTCGCCTTGAAGTCATGGAGGCAAGACTTTTTTTTGGCCCCCCCCCCTGTATAAGTGAAACAAGGCAGCAGAGGCTGATAACTACAGGAAAGAGGGCAAAAAAAGACACTTCTCTTCCTCGACTTTCGAGGCCATATAAGTTACAATTTTTGATAATGAAAATAGTCCACGAGGAAAATATCGGTCTTCTCATTCAGGAACTTCCGGTGCCATACCATCAACAGCGCACCTTGGCGACAGCGGTGAAGATGATATCCTGGACTGTAGCGACTTTTTCGGGACTGCTCCACGTTGAGATCTTTCAGATCAAGAGTTGCGGGCCGCCAGGTAGTTGTCGCTATCCATGGGTGACTCGGTACAGAAGCTCCCAGCTGTTTGAAGGTGATGTGAATCCCATAGGCTTTCTCCAGTCAGGCTGCAATCGGAGATAGCTTCATATTATGGTGTACATGAAGGTGGTGGGCGAGAGCCTGCTCCTGCTTATCGGGGAACACTTGGGTATCTTGACCCTGGTACTCATATCCACGTTTTCTGTATGGGCTGCGAAAACTTTACTGCTATGTAACTTGGCTTAAGTGCCTTTTTTGTCGCCCTCTGAATATCGCAGAAGATATGATAGAGATACGAAAAATCGGCGCAGTTCGGCGACGGGTGGAGGCATTTTGCACTTTCGCTGCTTCTCATTGCCGTTTTGAGACGTTGTGAAATCTTCTGCGCACGAAGGGATACCACTCAAAGTTTGTGAAATCTACTTGTCAACTCTTGTGAAGAATAAGTTTTAACTCTATGCCTCCTTTCGCCAGAGCACACCAACAAAAAACCAAAAAAGGTTTTTTCCTTAGAGAAAAGACTATATTTTACAGCAACTACTTACTTCTACTTCCTTTGCGAGACGTAGCAGAGGCTTAGCCTTATTGTTCATTGCTGCCAGATGAAACGGTGTAATGCCTCGAGGAAGACCTGTCGTCGGCATCTCTGTCGTGTTTTTCATGCATTCAAATAACTGTAAATATAGCACTGAGGATGATTGGCCTTTATAGGACAAGAATATCAAATTACGTACACTAATCCAAGAAAAAAAAGTTGGGATGAAACCCAGGAAACTTGGATAGATGAAGGAAAAGACCGCAATGTACAGTAAGAGTGCGCCCATACTTTGCGGCAGCGTTATAAGCGTTTGTCAGCATTTTGAATATCTGCCAACGCTTCAAGCGATAATCAATACTTATACTTTCTTAGTTGTTTGAAATGCTCAAGACGCTCGTTTACGCTCAAAATCGCTGGTGAATGATCAATAGGCCGACAACAGAAAATGAAAAGAAAAAAACGATGTGGAAAGAACAAAGTAAAGCCTCACATCTAAGCACATCTGTTCAGCTCCTATATATGCAGCGTAATGCAGTGGATAGTAACCATTGGAATCTTGCCGATAAACTGCTTTGGAATCAGCATTACATAGTTTCTGAAATTCATAAATTGCGGAAGATTTCCAATGCCTTTAAAAAATATGGAAAATACGAAGATCAATGCTGAAACGCCTAATAACGGGCTTGAGATGATGAAAATATCATCATTGGACGGCAATGCCTCATTTTCCACGTAACACTAAAGAGCAAGGGAACTCTGATTCACAAGGCGGAAGCGATTTTCATGCGGAATGACGTAACGCATTAGCAGTTTCGTGGTCACTCATTCTCATATACGCCACAGTTCCACCACCACTTTTTTCGAAGTCTCACCATGAAAGCATGAAAACTTGTTCGCCCGATTCACCCATGCATACCGAAGAGATGAGGAAGGCGTGGCCGCGTACTTCAACCAAAGGTGGTGTCGCCTGCGCTTCTCATGGCTCATTTTCGTTTTGGTAGGCACGATTGCTGAGGTTGTCAGCGTCATTGCCAGCAAGGGCGTTTGGCTAAACCCCTTTTCAGTCCTTCCGCCAATGACGCTTGCGACGACCGCCCGCCCAACAATCACTGTCTTTAACAAGTAGCCAAATTAAGAAATCGGAAAATCCCCAATACGGACAGGCGGAAAGATGAATTAATTGTAACGGTCTGTTCATTACTGCCGATCCTTGCTGCCAGCAAAACATCTGGGCACATGGTAAGCGACTGGAGGGCTACAGGGGCCTGAGCTATCGCTAGTGGACCCTGCATAGGCAGGATGATGTCAGTGCTACCGCACAAACGACAATGGGAAGAGAATTTTCAAATTACCGGAAGAAATTTCGGCTTTCAACATTACTCATCCGCTTGAGGAAAACTTCGCCTTCGATTGTACTACTTGAGTTTGACTAGCACTCGAAGGTTCTCAGATCCAAAGCCGCAGAGTCGTATAAACAAGCTGACGAGCATATCATATTGCGGATCTTGTGACAAGAACGCTGATTCATGGGCAAAAGCTAATTCGATCAACCTAAAAACTGCCCCCTACCAGGTCTTGCATGGGTTGCGTGGAAATATTTACTGTTCAGTTGCTTCAAAAGCACTGCATCAGCAAAGAGCAGCACCCACACTTTAGACAATGAACAAATGAATTTCTCAACAAATAGCCTTTAGAAACGGAAAATGAGAGAGCGTTTGCCCTGTCATTTCAACAGAAACCTTAATCAAGGATATCGATGCCTAGAAGCTGGAACGATGTCGCTGTCCGCAAGCACGGAAATGGCACAATTGAATGTAGCTGCAAGAACTGAGCAATGAAATGCTGCAACTGGGTGTCGCGCCTGACACCGCGACCAATCTTGGAGAAGATTCTATTCATTGGGGACAGCGGACAACTACAAAATAGTAAACATGTCAGGTAAGGTCCCAATCACTCTATTTCAACGTAACTGGACAGGAAGCTGAACTCACCTTGACGGTAATCTCCGAGTGAGTTAGAACGGCAAGATGGAGCGCATTACGACCACGCATGTCCGGTTTGTCCACCTCTGCTCCAGCATCCACGAGAATTTCAACCTTGAACATAATTACAGACATTTCCAATCGACACTATCATCTTTGCTCTATCTAAGGTGCCAGTACAGGCTTATTCGCTCGGATGATGGGGCGTGTCAGTGAGGCTAGACTTGGCGCGCCGCCAGCCCGGCTGTTGAAGCGGTTGAGCGACAATTATTGGTAGAAAGAACTGATTTGAAAGATACGATGTAGTCTTGACCGCGCCAGTCGCGCCAAGCCCATACTTCCTTAACACGCCTGCACCGAACAAGAGAGCAAGAACTGAGAGTACAGAAGTTTCAGTCTTTTAAAGGAACCGAATTTAGAACGTTTACCACTTGATCCAGTCCTTTTGATGCAGCTATGTGTAGTGGGCTATAGCCGAGTTTATCGGCCACATTCACGTCTGCTTTGTTTTGCACCAGATATTCAACGGTGAACGCACTGGAATACTAATCTAGAGATGTGAATTTTCTGGAGTTTGTTCAGTCAGAAGATAGGAATAATGAATTGAGAGCGCTTTTAAGAGCAGGGAATAGAGGCGCATTTTGACTTGATGGGGGTACCAAATGGTACTCAGCGAAGCTTGTGCAGGACACCTTCCAAGAACTGTGAAGTTCTGTAACTGAAGTGGTCACTCGTATCTACTTGCAGCTTCAGAAGAATTTGCAAGTCCTACCGAAAAGATATTTTTCGCTGAATATGAGCTAAGAAAAAGAAAAAGCATAAGTGGAAAGTGCCTCCTCCAAGCTGATCAACGCCGTTAGACCTACAACTAGAGGGAAGTGAAAGGACTAATACATATAGGAGAGATGAAACTTTCAGCCACCTTCTTCTGGATGCGCTACGCATTCCTTTTGCGTATATGATGATAATGGTTCTTTGTACTTTATGTGACCTTCATAGGGCCTTCTTGGCCACTCGATGTGCGATTCAGTGTTTTTCTCCTCAGAGGCGTCTTTTCCAAGATCGGAGGGACCGAAGAATCGGCTGGCGAGGTTGGATGCTGGCCCAGAATTCCAGTTCCACCTACCGCGCGGACTAATACTTACCCATTATCCGAGATACTGCCAGATGCTAAATGAAGCGGTGTTCGTAATGATAAGTCCTTTGCCTCCACATTGGCACCCATTTCAACTAAGGTTTGTACAACTGGTTGAGATGCATGAAAGGCAGCGAGATGGAGTGGCGTCATATCACCTTTCATCCTCCTGGAAGAAATGAAAATTTACTCGAGTGAAGCATATAGGCAATGAGCACGATGCTGTAGGCGGGCGGTTGTTGCCAGTGTCATTGGTGAAAGGGATACGAGTGGACGCTTAGCCACAACACAGACAGCCTTTCCACCAGTGACGTTGGCGACAACCGTCCGCTCAGCAACTGCGCGCACTGCTTTTCAGTAACATCTAAGCACCCCTAAAGATCACAACTAGTTCATTAACTTCTGAGACGCAGTAGGCTTCACTAATGACTCTTGACTGACTAATTGTTAGCAGCAAGTTTTACCAAAATGAACGAGAAAGATGCACTCCAGTGAAAAAAAACAAATTAATAGAGAATAAGATGCAGAAACTCACGCATTCACGTCAGCTTTGGACTTCAAGAGGTGCTTGACGACTAGCTGATGGCCTCCAATTGCAGCACAGTGCAGTGGTGTTGCATCATCATGCGATCTCGCATCAACCTCGGCACCAGCTAAAAGGGACAAGAGTTTGGCAGTGGTTGAGGTGCTGAGTTGAGCTAAGCGCGTCTGCTACAATTTATCCATTTCTTTATCCCACAAGAACGTAGATCCATTATAGAAGAGCGTAAACAGGAAAGGAATTGGGTAAACGGCATCGCTCACAGGAGAAATGGAAGAAATACAGGTGTAGTTCGGCGACCTGTACATTCTTGTGAAGATATGAGTACCAGGGACTTCGCTTTCACTTGAAAGCAGTGGGCACAGTTAATGGGGGCGGGCGGTTGCTGTATATCATCGGTGGAAAGGATGCATGAGGGCGTTCAGCCCTCTCACCAATGACGTTGGCAGTAAGCGCCCGCCCCCGGCCACCGTACCCACTGCCCATAACAAGAGTCTATAGGTTTTATCTACGTGACGTGTAAGCTAACGACAACTAGCAAAAGCAACGGTGAAAAAGCAAAAGGCCCTTCACCCTAACCAGAGGTCGCACCGTTATTTACGTGAGAAGCGATCTACATGGCAGTGACATTCGTTCTAGGACCGCGAAAGTGATCTCGGCGACCCGTCCACTTCCTCACAGCAACGTCGAAACACTCTTTCTCGCTGCGGATGATGGGCGTGTCAGTGAGGGCGGATTTGGCACGCCGCTAGCGCGCTCTCCACCAGTTGTAGAAGAAGGTCAGTGACAACAGTTGGTGTAAAGAGATTGATCGATGACACATTCTTGAACAACTGGTAGAAAACGGATTGGAGCTGCGCTTAACCCATCCCGCCTCACACGCCCCTCCATCCGTGGTGGTCAGTTCTATACAATCTAAGTCTGACTGTGGATAAACTGTAAGGTTCTACAAACTATGAACGCAGTCAAATTGAAAAGCGAGTAGAAAATCTCACAAATACACCTATACGAAAAGGCTCTGGCATTAACATATCCACAAGTAGTCTGCTGGATCAACAGAGACCAACGCACCGTTCGCAAACTGACCAAAAAGTTATCATGAGTTGTCTTTTGATGGGATTCACTGACATTCTGGAAGAAATAGACGGCACTAATAACCTGGGAGAACGAGATGGGGGAGAGGGATCTGTAGGCGCTTGCCAGCACACCAAATCCTATAAACTATAGACATGTGAGTACCAGATAAACTTNTACAACACTATTTGACCCAANAACACCTGCCAAAGAACCCTTTAAAACCTCTTGTCAAAACTTGTGCAAAAGACTAGGTCGAATTGGAGAAGAACTGCCCACCTGCGTGACTAGAATATACGAGGTTCATAGGTTGAGAGATTTCGAACGAACACTAGAAAAGTTAGCCAAACAGAAAGACAAGAACACTAAGCCAGTGTGCTTTCCCAAGTCTAATTAGCGCCGTAGAATGAACAGAAAAGCCCAGTAATGCGTGTAGCTTTTTGCTTAAGAATGAGTCACTGTTTTTCCACAATTTTCCTTCCTCATCGACCATTTCCAAATAAAATCTTGCTTGAAAGAAACGACAAAATACGATTTTTCTTACTAATAGCAAAGCCGAAACACATCAGAAAGAAAGAAAGACCAAAATAATAAAGAAAGGAATAAGCCAGGCAAGAAACGACGAAAAGAAACCCCCGTCAAATCGCGGCTATGTTTCAATGACGAAACTTTCACACGCGACAAACGCAGCGAGCGTCAACACGACAGATATATGTTACACGCACACGAGGATGTAATCCTCAACCACACAACAAATAGTCCAGCATAGAGTACTTTCAGCCGCTATCGACTTGCTCACGCCCCAAAAAGAGCATGCATAACGGGCTGAGCGGTAGCAAGTATCTACAATAAAATCATGCCCATACTTCACAAGAGAATCCATACAATTCACAGCCTACTAAAATACACCAATTAAGGAAAATAATACCCGGATTTATTACCTGAAGTCAATCTTTGATGATGGAGGTGACAGAGGGCGAAGAGGGAGCGAAAAGTTATCTTTGATCATACGAATAAGGAATTATGTGGATCGATCTGCAAAAAAATTCAACTGTTTCAACAGAAAGAGGAGCGCCGACTATGGACAGGCACTCTCACCTTGAGATCCTTTAGGAGGAGTAAACTGATAGCTGAAGATAGATGTGAATCGCTGCCCTTCCTGACAGAAATGCTTTTTCTTGTTGCACGCTCCTCAGAACTTATCTCTGTTTCAAACGCGCTATGCAGCCCACTTACGGCCTTTTAGATAACAATGGAGTTTTAGAAGACAAAAAATCCGGAAGTGGAGAGTTTTGTAGAAACTCTGCGAAAAAAAGAAGGAAAAGTGGTTTATTCTGAAAGATGGTATAGTATGCGATGGCGTGAGGACGTCGTCATCCGATGAGTGGGGGGATCCTAAACACATTTTGCAGAATTTTCCATCCGCAAAAACGTTCCTGACCATGGAGGCAGACAGAAGCGTAGAAAGAGTGGGGAAAAGTTCTTGAACGCCTATGAATTCCAGCCAAACCTGTCCATCACTCAGAAAACCCTATTTTACTCACATACAGAAACGGAGTATAAAGTCTCAATCGTAGAGTAATTCCTTTCTGGATACGCTACCGCATTGCATTTCCATTAGAAGCCGCTCTATAGCGATGCGATGTGCCTGTGCAATACTTCCGACTTGTGCATTGGTTGATAGGGGATCAGCCAAATGCCACAAGTCATGTTCTTTTCTTCCCAGAGAAATCTGCACCATTTACCGTGGCGTAGAAAAGCTTGATTGGCCTAGCTGGAGATCGAATCCGACCCCAACCGCCTGCCGCATGGGAATGCGCCACTTTTGGCCACTACACCACTTCCCCCTCATATTTAAGCACTATGTCTCACGATAAGCACTTCTTACTGAGTAATCAACAACCTTACGTTTCCATATCCTTAGCGCACTCCCTCTAAAGCGTCCAGCAGTTGTCTAAAGACAACATGAGAATTGAAGATTTGAAACTAGAATAATCGCTTTCTGAGGAAAAAGAAACCCACTGCCCAGGCTTTCAAAGTCACAGATTAGCAAACCGCTGTCGAAGAAGACTGAGAATGTAACAATCCACTCTCCTCCCCTGCTCTAGAAAAAAACTCACTTGACAAACAAGCAACGAATCACCCAAAGAGTCAAAAACATTGGGGCATAGATACAAAGCGACACAATCGATCACGAAAAGTACACTTCAAACTTTTGTCGATGAAAACAAGTGCACAGCACACGAATGCCGAACCTCATATCGATAGCAATTCGCTCTTAGCTATCAAAACGGGAAATGCCATCTAATTGTACAGATGTAAGCAGTCTCGTGCGCATTAAAGAAGCGATGAATGCCCAAAAAATCATACTCTAAATGCCATCGCCAATCTAAAAAAATCTAGCCTGCTAATCATAGTACTTAGTCAGAAAAAGCTCATTAAATTAAAAATAACTAATGGGAGTTTAAGAAACAAAGCATAAGGATTAACGCGCTGAACACTCTTTTCTGGATGGCATCAAGCATCTACTCTACTCAGTAATCTCGCGTGTCTTGTCCAGTTGCCATGATCCCGGAGACGAGGACTTTCCCGATGAGCCAGCCGGGCAGGTTAAGTCCTGGTATTCTCACCCCTCCCCCCCCGCGCCGGCCAGATGAATTTGAACAAATTTTAAATCGCAAAGAAGGGGTTAGAATACTTGTTGCTGTGACCTAGGAGTTTAATCGCCCGGAGCGCCGCGCTTATAAGATCTCATTTGCCGCTACACACCCAGACCTTCATAACTACGTCTTACTGCCACCATGTCCACATAAGAAAAAGCTGAACCTGGCGGGTTATGGCCTAATGAAAGAAAACGCATGTCTTCCCCGAGAAAATAAATAAATCTGAAAAAAAAAAACTTGTATCTGCAGCAGCAGCGAGGTAATCTCAAACCAGAAAACCAACTCGCCAGCAACAGCGCTATGTCTGACTCGCATAGCCATCACATGACTGATTCGTCATTTACGTACTTCAAGCCACAACGCAAAATTCTCTAAGCGCAGAACAACTCCAGAAAACTAGCATATCGGGAAACCCCCATATGTTGAACGCCACGCACGCATTCAAAAAGAGTGATTTTGGAGCTCAAACACTGATAGCAAATGCATAAAAAAATAGAGCTGAAGAAAAAAGCCAGAAAAAAATCTGCTCGAAGCGCCCTCTCATTAGGCCCCATAGCTCGAATTGCGCTTAAGCGTGCATAAGGGTGAAAAGCTGCTGACATCAGCTGTTCGTTGGTGCCCATCTTCCCCCTTTCACAAACGGCTCTTTCAATAGCCAGAAAACAGACGCAAATATGCAGAACGCAGAATGACTAGCCTAAAAAATGGAAAAATGAGACCGCGCGGCCCAGAGGCGAAAAGCGCGATGCTCTCCGAGTGGCCCGGCGCTTTTCATTACGAATTACGTTCTCTGTGCTTCCCAGGCGAGTCTACCGGCGCCCAGAATAAGCGCCGAATATCCAATGAGCGCGCGGCCGACTTAAAGCCACCTAATAAGTAAAGAGTTATGGCAAAGGAGCAACACCCAAGAAGTTACTTCGAGAGAACATCTCGAGAACAGCTCGCCTGAAGGGACAAGAGAAAGTATAGAAACGGATAGACCTCTCGATTGTTCAACAATATAATTTCAACTAAGAATGAGTGGCAGAAAACTGTTACTGCAAGATAGAAAGCATTGTGAAACTTATACGAATGCTACCAACCCTCCTTTCACCTTTACTTAACAAAACGGCTGACCCATCAGAACCAGAGCAGCTTCAGAACGTGAAAAATCGAATAAAATATACTACAAGCCGCAAAGGGAAAATCACATGACACACCATGAGTTCCACGCGATCCGGAACGTCTCGAACATGTTAGGACACAATTCCATGTAAAACAGCGGAAACAGAAACTAATAACAGAACGAAAAGAGGTGAGTAATAACTTCGGAACAGGAGAATACTCAAAAAAAGTAATAAATAAGATCGAAAAGGGAAACATAATCACGAACCTTGAATAAGAGTATCCACTCGAGACACTTTTGTCCATTCACTGGCCAGATGGAGAGGCGTCATTCCGTCTGCATTCCTGGCGTTGAGATCAATGCCCTCACACTAAAAGTACCATCAAGAACCTGAGGAAAATAAAATCGCGGGATAAAACCCGATGCTAATAACTGTGGCGAGGGGGAATATGTAAGGGCTTGTTCACAAAATCCCGCAGGCTTATAAATATAGAGCCCCCTGAACACCGTGCAAGACTTCTTTTCACGTGTCAGCACCCAGTAAACTCCTATGATGTCAAAATGGCTAAACAATATATGAAAAAAAATTGAAGATAGTCTCTGAGTGATGCTTGATCCTCTTCGTTAAGTTCGACAGGAGTTCACATGGAAGTCGACTGAAATTTACAGGACTTGCAGGGTATGACGGTGGATTTTGGATAAAAAAAATCGCGAATAAAAGAAATAACCGAGACAAAGACTCACACTGAAAAACTTGCATGTTAGGCAACAGCATCCCCCCCTAAGGTTGTAGGCGCCCAGAAACCTCATCTATTATGTAAAATCAATTGCTGACATGAATCTTACATTTATCAAGTATTCTATAGGTTTCGCCGATTCCGCCAGTGAAGCAGCAACATGTAGTGGAGTTGTACCATCGCACGCGGCCGCAGCAACATCACAACCACTTTGAACGAGGCTGAAAACTGAAAATCTTCCTGAAATCCTACAAATGCTTGCCAAGTTAATAGCAAAATATTCAGATACGCGTGAAACCCGATTTCTACTCGTACCCTGCGCTCACTACATTTGCGCTCTGGATTAAATAACCTCACTAGTATGTTAACATAACAATAAGTTTATACACTTTACACTAAGAAGTGAAAAATTACCGGAAAGGTCCTCCAACTTATCATGGGACTTTGTATAGATTAGGTAGATCGAAAGGGTCTGGAATACTATTCAGAAATATGGAAAGTAAAAACTGCTACCTGCACTCCGCAAACTGGTTACAAGCTCGTAAAGCTTATAATTGTGAGATCCCATGCATTACACTTGCGGCACATAAAGAGATCCGCTTGATAGATCCACAAAATTACTGTAGCGCAGCGAGTCTCTCCGTTGGGAAGCGGTAACAGCTGGGTTCGACCCCCGCTAGTGCACAAATCTTTGGTTCATCACCTATATAAGCCCTCATCGCGACTTTTTTGATATTATTTCTGAGCAGCACTACAGAAGCGAGAGCAGGTGAAGCACTGGATATGAAAATCGTCACGTCACTAGGATAGTTGCAGGCAACTGAAGCACCTTTATGGACTGCAGCTTCTGGCCTGCAAAGGTAGTTTCATCAATATCGTTAATTTCGTTATGAACTGCGCAATCACGTTCATAATTCGTCTGAAAGCGCTATGTCTCAGTGTCCTTCCATCTTCTGACCGCTTTGTTCTTCGGTCGCATAAAACTCGTTATAACGGATCAGGAGCCGCCCAGTGAGGAGCTGTTCGATACTCTCCTTACGCTCCGCTGAAACTTTTCGAAGTTTTGGCCATACTATTGATTCGGCTGAAAACTCGTACATAGGGGTATATGTCTCCTGAACACGGATATCATACTCGTTTTGACATAAACACGCGCGAACGGGCGTTACCATGCTACAGTGCGCGCCTGGTGGACAAGTCCTCAGGCAAGTTGAGGGTCGCTTGCCTGCCTCCCTCACCCTGTGAAAGATCGCACGCTAACACATTTGCTCCATAATTGCAAACATCATTCAATACCATCATCGACCGACATAGGTCTTCTGTTCAAATACTCCATGGTATGCTGGAGACTTCCCTGGGTTACGGCCTGTTTGTAATTTGCAAACATATTTTTGCTGAAGCCATGAATTATGATATTGTCTGATTAGGCCTATATGACAACAAAGGAAAGTAGAGCGAGAAAAACAAGTATAGTGATTTGGAAAGGGCGCAGATCGGCTTGGGGGGGGCATTCAGCTTTTTCGCCCACTTTCTTTCGACGTGTCAATTATCAAGTAGAGACAGTGGAATGTGTGTGAAGCAATGCAGTGTTACCAGGACAAAGTCGTAGAAATTCCATGTCAACCCTCCGTAAAAAAAATCTGCCAACCCTTAGAAATAATGAGCACGACGACGGGAAGTGCAAAATCCCGCTTTCTATTCCTAAAGCCGAACTGCGATTTGGAAAGCTTACGTATCAATAGTTAACCTCTGCCCTACTGGTTTTGTGAGAAATCCGCAAGAATACAATTCACGAAAAAGCGTCGTATGAACTGGCTATGCCAAAAAATTCTACCCATATATTTATTTCATCGCCACTTTTCTCAATATTCAATTCCCACTCGGACTGACCAATCATCATTTTTGAGCCGCAGTCTAGCCCATTTTATATCCAGCTTTGTTCTTTAATATGGTAACTTCACAGCGCTGCTAGAAAACCTAGGGTTCACTGACATAATCGCCTAAATGGCTTTAACGTAAATGTGTGAGGAGTAGATAAACTGAGATGAATATATCCCGGACAGCTAAAGGAAACGCATTGAATCTTGCAGTGCGATGGAAACAGCGGCAGTTGAGCAACAGATCAAATAATTTCACAAAAGAAATAGAACAGATTCGCTGTAGCACCCGTGCTCTGGTGAATACAGCCAGTCGAGGTGCTTTCCACGACATCCGATATGGACGGGGACAGGGAGCTAGTATGCTGTTGCCTTCCGTTGGAGACAGTCTTCACGCTCACCAAGTCGGAGCCCACCTTTCTTGTTCAAGTAGTTCGGTCCGCCATCTCTAAGATTGCCCTCTTTCGCGGTTTCACAGTAGGTAACCAAAGGCGCTGCAGCCCTCGCTAATTGGCATTTTGACACCTACAGCTCCGCAGCTGTACCGCCCACCGAAACTCAAAGCTCATTTTCGTCGCGAGTTCACTTTTTACAACGTGTTTTTCGTTTATTTCTGTTACATGGTATAAGCACTGGATGAGCGGAGACGCATGAGCCAGAAGCGGTCGAATTCGGTTCTAGTGTTACAAAACGAGCAGGTCCGGGAAAACCGTACAGTGAGGCTACCAGGGGTCCTTACTTAGGGGTCTCCGTGATTTTTCTGGTTTTTTTTTCTTTTCCTTGGAGAGCGACCATAAGTTTGTGGTTGAACGTCGCTATCCACAATATGCAATGCGTGCTTATTTAAGGCTGGAGGAAGGGGTTACAGCGAGGTAGCCTTCTGCCCCCGAACATATAATCAGTGTGGAACCAGCTTTTAACGAAACGAAATCTTTCCATGGTTCCTATCACATTCAACCCAAAGTACGGTAATACAGATTGTCACTTACAGATCGATAGTCTTTACATTTTGCCCATTTTGTACAGCATAGTGTAGAGGAGTATACCCGTCATTGTCCCTCGCATTAATGAAATTTTTGTCGATCCTCAATAGGGCTGCTGAAAATTCGCACAATAAACACATCTGCTTATTCAACACTGTTCTAACTGAGGAAAAAGATGATACAAGAGGAAACTGTTGAAACGCGACAAATTTAAAAAGTGTGGTGTACAGCAAATGCAGAAAAGCAGAAAAAACGAGAAGAGCAGCAGTTCTGAAGCTCACCTAACAGGTCCATTTGAGATGCCATCGCAGAATAATGGGCCACAGTTCGTCCATGGAAATCACGGACTGTGATTGACGCACCCGCTTCTCGCAACACCGCCAGCATTCCCAAACTGCCCCCACAAGCCATAGAATGCATAGCGGTGCGGCCTAGTTTGTCACTGAAATGGACAATTTAGAGATTCAGAAACATGTTCAAAAACCACAAACTACAAAAAGGTAAAAGTACCCTATTAAAAGGTTGCAATCGAAATAATTTACAGGCACTCTGGTGACCATCCATGAGGTGGGCAGGCTCGGAGCTGAAGAAGCTAACGTCAGCAAAAACAGCGCAGAAATCAAGGTGAGTGCTTATGATAGCTAGATCTTCTTTGATGTCTATATCTGCCGTATGCGAAGAATACACCACGGACAAGACACACCATACGGTCAACCACAGTCTGGCTATAGTCCAGGCTGTGCGGCTGCGGCGAGCTGTATGGCGTGTCTGAGGCGCGTATTCATCTCGAACGATGAGTGTAGACTGATAAAGACTCATCAGCTTATCGGAATCCTTAACCTTCATTTCCGCTCACACATGTGAATGGCGAAAGTACCACACTAGGACTGCAGACCTACCCACCTCGCATATGTGATGGAATTACCTCACATGTGAACGTAGTGTGTCTTTAAAAAGAAAATAAAGACAAAACAATACAAATGAACTTGAGGTCAAAAGTCGCTCACTTACACAGCAGCCATGTTTATTCCAGCTTTTAAGAGGAGTTCAGCGACCTCTATGTGACCATGATATGCCGCATGATGTAAAGCTGTGCATCCACGAGAGTCGGCGCTATCTAAAACAACAAAAGATGAACAGAGCTCAGAAGCTGGCCTGCCAGCTGCCGGATCGGCGTTGGGGGGGGGCGATTTAGCACATCGCTAGTACCTTTTGCTGATTCATGTTAACAAACAGGTCTTATTTTGGTGATACCTGAAAACTCTTGTGAAGCAGCTCAAGTGAACAATGCACTTTTTTGGTTACGAAGTTCAAAAGGTCCTCAATAAACTGGCCTGTGCAGGCATTTCGGAATAGCATTTGGATGCCCCACCAAGCCGAATTGCCCTAAAAGCTCAGCGATAAGCCGCAATGCCCGAGTGTCACTCACCTAACATAATATACCGATTGCGTAATAATAACGTACGCTACATTAGGCACATTGTGGATAGCGCATATATGTAAGAGGTGTTTGAAAGTAAATTTACATTTGAGTGCAGTATCACAACCTGAAAGAAGCATTTGTTAGAGTAATACTCATTCGCTTTCAACATGTTTGCTTTGCCATAACAAGTCGCAGAGATGAACATCGCGATTCATTTGCTGCTCGATTTTTCGACCGAGAAATCGAAATCGTCGTTTCCAAGACCAGAAAATGCCTGAAGTCCCCTATTTGAGATCTACTTTGAAGAACTTCATCCTGCTCGACCGTTCGCGAGGAGTTCTCTCCTACCAAACCTGAGTGGCAGAGCAGTAAGTAAATAGTTTCTAGAAAATGTTCAGCTTTTAAAAAGACTAGAGAAGACCAGGGATGACAATTCATTCGCTTACTCACAGATGTATTGACCGAGCCCGGAGATTCGCTACACTCTAGTGGTGGATTACAGAATGGAACATTCTTTCAGTTTTTTTTTTATATTATTGGGCGCCCTTACACGAGCGAAATCCAAAAAGTCAGTTATGTAGCGACGAGCTAGCCAGTTGAAAAGAGGAGAGCCGCAAGCAAGAGTGGAAAAGGAAATTCTACTAAAAGAGTTTCATGTATGTTGGCTAGACCTCCAAAAAATTGACCTTATTGAAGTTTTAAAGGTTCGGCACTAACGGCTTACTCTTCCACTCGAACAAGAAACAAAAAGACGAGCAGAACCTGACTGGAGGCAGGTCCTAAATAAGCATTAAGCAAAGCTATATCTGATCGCAGATTAGAATCTTTAGTCACTGCGTCATTTAGCTCCATAATCCAAACAACGAAAAGCGACAGAATAAACAACACGAAAAAACGTACCTTTATTTATGAGAAGCTCTGCCGCGTCATATCGCAACGCGGCAACTGCGCGATGTAAAGGGGTAAGACCTAGTGTGTCCTGGGCATTCAAATCAGCACCAGAATCTGAAAACAAAAACTCAATGACACACTGAAACCATTAAAATGCAAGTGGCACGATAAAACGACGGCGCACAGGGTCGACACGCCTAGCACGAAAGAATACTGTGCCCCATAACGGATTTCCAAACCAGAAGGCCAGTATAGCGCTCTGTCAAGGTGCAACATGCCGACCCAGACGCCGTATCTGTCAGAGCAGTTGCTGGCATGATGCCAACGGGAACTCGGCCAAGAACGCTCGTCCAATGCCGTTTAAAACAAAGGTTTTCTCGCGGGTTTTGGCTTTTGCCATTTAACTTTTTTTGTCGTTTTCCCCACCTCTGCCAATATTTTTGAGCAAGCACCAAATTATTGCCTTACGCCTTTGTGAAAAGAAAGAAGCTCTGAAAAAGAGGTTCCAATGTTGAAACTCACCGATAAGCACAAGCATCATCGTAGTGTCGCCAACGTAAGCAGCGTAATGTAATGGTAAACTACCAACTGAGTCTGTACGATTGACATCCACACCATTATAGATCAATGTCTTCACAGCTGACTCGTTCTTTGTCAATATCGCTACACCAAGATCATTCTGAACACATGTATTTACTACCGCTAGGCTACAGCTGACGGGGAACTCTCGGCGGGCTGTAAAAACGCAGCAGTAAACAGCCACAGCCATTCCAGCCAGCTTTCACAACGCAACATTTAAATTACCATGACTACATTACAAGTTTCAGCCGACAATTTGTAACATGTAGAGTTTCTAAAGCTTGAGAACACTTTATGTAATAATTTTCCACACATAGATCACTCAAAAACAATCCCCGCGCTCAACCAATTAGTAGGTGTCCCTCCTTATTCGCGTAGTGTGGTCAGTCTCTAAGGATGTTCCACTTTCGCGGCCTCACAGTAAGTGAACAGGCGCTGCGATCCTCATAAGTGGCGACGCCTCTCTAGTTGTCCCACCAAAATTCAATGGTTATTTTGTGTCAAGAATTTGGTTTTCATACCGCGTTTATGGTTTTTTTTTCACGGTAGTACTGGCACTGGATGACGCTATGAAACGATAGTGAGCCAAAAGGATGTCGCTTTGCGGACGCGAAATGGGCAGATAACCAGAACTCGCACAGTGAGGCTGCAAGGGGTCCTTACTCAAGGCGTCCATGAACTTTTTGATTTTCTCCTCTCTGGAGAGTCACTTATTGTTAGTGACTACAATTTCGGAACTGAACGACACTATCCACAATGTGCGATGTTGGGGTTTGCTTCTGAACAGAAAGATGAGAATGAGATTGGAATAGTTGAATGAAAAGGGTGTGGGGGGAATATTGCACTCAAGGACACCAAATGAGCTGTACTGAAGTCGAATGACAACTCAAAACGAAGGATAGATGAAGAACAGACTGACCAGTCGACACCCAGGTGACAACGGTGTAAATCTCAAAAATGTGTCACCAGCAGCAGCTGTTACCCCGAGTGAGAGTCCAGTGATTTCCTAAGCAGGTCTCGAAGGGGATTAAGGTGTGAGGTCTAACAGGACAAGGGTCGCATAAGAGATCCTCAAGCCATAACACAGGCTCGACAATGTTGAAGAAAACCAGAAACTACAAGGAATAATTGAATTCCCTGTACCTTATTCTATTGCCTTGTACTATTTAGCTGAAGAGCGGTCTGCTGGGACAAAAAAAATATAAACTAAAAGACTAAGTAATTTTACAACTGCACGAAAGGAGTGTTTGTGTAAGAAAATTGTAAAGAACGTTTCAAATCCATCGAAAATACAAGCTGCGCTATACTCATAAATTCAGTAAGCAACACAATAATAAGCCCTTGGAATATTAGGGGTAGCGAAAACCCAATATCCGAAAACTCGACTGCTGCAATAGTTTGGGGCCACGTGTGGTGCGACGTAGCACACTCCACTGCGTTTCCCCAAGACGAAGCAGCATGCAAGCTGGCGTTTGTGCCCTGGTAAAGCTAAGCATAGGAAAGAAGCGTCTTTTATCGCGTCACCGCGTTGAGCATTTTGATCTCTAATTGATTTTGTCCTCACTCTCCTTACCATATATTAACTATATCAGGTTCAAATTTAGTTCCCCGATCCCAAATAGGTGCTTCGCGCTCCTCTAGGAGGAGCTTTGTCCCGTTTCAGCGTTAACTGCTATAATATCGATGATTTTAGGTGCAACTGCATGGCCGGCAGGAGACTCAAGTTGTAAAATGGGCGCTTTTTTACTCCTTGATTGAACAGTACGCTGCGTTCTATTTGCGTTGCTATGTTCTCTTCTGTGATTCAGTACAGTGTGATAAACATAGCTGGGATCACATCATGGAGTCGTTCTTGGTTTCTGGGGAAGGAAGTAGTATTAGGTTGTCCGGAAAGTTCTGCACGTTTTGCGTTACTATTTTTTGAACATTCATTGCTGATTGAAAACTCACTCCCCCTTGCGTCTCAGTAGTAAATCCTGAAGAGAATTCTTTGCGCTGTCTGATGGTATAACTGCCGTTTCACCATTGCTTGATAAACCCCTTTTTTAAGATTTTTTCAAGCATGTGAAAAGAGCACTTCGGACGATTTTTTTCTTCGACTATAAATTGGGGCAATCCGCAATCGAAACAGCTCAACAAATTAACCAGGTGTGAGGGCCCAATAGTGCTAGAGAAAGCACTGTGCGCCAATGGTTCAACAAATATCATTCTGGAGATTTCGTCCTTGAAGATAAACCTCATAGCGGTCGACCTAAAGCAATATCTGACGAGGATTTTAAGGGGATTTTGGAGGCTGACCCATCCCAAACAGTCCGAGAGACTGCAGAAAAGCTGGGCGTTGGCAAATCCACTGTTACCGATGGTCTGAAACGCACTGGGAAGGTGAAAAAACTCGACAAGTAGGTGCCCCACAATCTGAGTGACCGGCAGAAATTGGCACGTCTCGCGGGTTCCTCTTCACAGCGTTTGCGCAGCAGAAACGACCCGTTTTGGACCGAATTGTCACCTGCGATGAAAAATGGGTCATGTATGATAACAGGAGACGTTCCGCACAGTAGTTGGATCTCGATGAACCACCGAGCTAATTTTCAAAGCCGAACCCTCACGAAAAAATGATTCTGGTCACGGCTTGGTGGTCATCGGCTGGTGTGATCCACTATAACTTTTATCACCGGGCCAAACCATCACAGCAGAACCCTAAAGGAATCGACGAAATGTACCGAAAATTTTGACAGCTGCAGCCAACACTTATCGAAAAGAAAGGGTCCAATTCCTTTGCATGACAATGCCCTCCCACACGTTTCACAAATCACTATCCATAAATTGAACGAAGTTGGGGGCTGAAAGTTCTACCTCAGACGCCATGTTCTTCAGACCTTTGGCCCCATCACTTTTCAAACATTTTCAGAACTCCTTGCTGATAAAATACTTCACCAATCAGGACGGCAGCAAAAAAGCCTTCGTGGATTTTCGTGGCTTCTCGCCACCCAAGTTTTTTTTTTCTTTGATGGATTCTCGACTGCTGGTCACATTGGCAAAAGCGTGCTGATTCGAAGGTGCTTATTTTGGCTTGAATACGATGAGTGATAAGAAAGTTAGGATCGTTTAAAGTGAAACACTCAAAACGCTGAGAACTTTCGGGCTACCTAATACTTGCTTTCGGGAAGACTTTTTGTGAAATGTGAGTATTTTCTCGATTGTTGTATTTTCTTGAATTTGTTTCTCGTTTCATGGTCTTTCAATCACTATGAACCACCACCCCCCCCCCTAATACCAAAGAACTGTAGTGTTGTGTTATTGCGGCCGGTGGACCCCGATACGTTAGCGCTGAGCAACCGCCTTCTCTGCTAGCGCACCTACGCATGCATCAGCTAAATAGTAAATCATGTTTCGTGACGAAAACTACAGATTTTGACAATTAAAGGAATCAAATAAATGAAAACAAATAAACCTTATGTATGTAAATATGCTTCAAAAGTCCAACAACAGAAATAGGACATACTTCTATTGATGATGCTGTCATTCTGCTACTGCTTGGTAGACCCTGAGGAACAACCGAGGATATCGATCCGTTTCGACTGGGATCGTTCTTTACGCCGCGATCTGAAAGCATTAATCAGCATCGTCTACGAAAAACGTGTTTTGAAGACTGGCACACTATTAGATAGATCCACTGCGCTTTCATGGGAATTTTCTCAGCTAATGGCATAAAAAAGCTTATTTCTGGTAACGCTACGAAGTAGCATATATTTGGGATCTTCTCCAAAAACGGCGCTAGCTAAGCCTAGATCGTTTCCGATGAGAAGATGCAGCGACTACGTTCAGTAAAACGTGCTAAGTGGAAGTACAGGACCTCAAGATCCAGAAAGCTCATCCAGGCAATCCATCACTTTGAAGCACGAAAAAAAGTGGCCGGCCAATGCACATGATAAAAGTCGCTTTCAGCCTCTTTATACTTACAAGTGCGTTATTGACTACTTTTGGCATCTTCTGGTTGAAAGGCAAGTGGCACGATAGATCCTGAAGACGTGTAGGATTAATAGGCCTAGCAGGACAGAATTCGACGGCCCCGCAGGCGCTGCGTGGCGCCTTTTCCAACGAACGTACCCTTATAGCGTCCTATCAAGCTGCAACGCGACCCGGACGCCCACTGCGCTATCCCGCTCACAAATGTCCGACGATACTGATGTTTCATTTGCGAGGATAATATGAAGCTTAGCGTAATGCCAGTGGGGAAACTCGTCCGAGAACGATTTGTGAGTCATGTAGAAAGGCTTTTCTGCAAGTTTTTGACCCTTTCACTTTGCTTTCCCGCAGATACCCACCCTATTTAGCACCCTGCCCATTTTAGACCAAGTCAAATTATCGTGTCCTCTGCCTTTGAATGCACCTTACTGAAAGGCTGGCAATCGGGGGAGGGGTGGGCCCATTCACTCAAGGAATCACGGCATCGCAACATTTACACGGTCTGTCGGGAAATTATGATTTTGAGGACAGTCCCACTGGTGGTAAATTTCTACGACTATACAATCTCTGGCCATGAAAATCCCATGGAGATCCTGGTCAACAAATCATACCAGACCTCGAAACCAGCGTAGCCGCGCCCTTCATGACCAGCAACTCAAGCCGAAGGAAAACGGACTAAAACAAGAGCATTCGACCATCGAACTCCCTTGAGAGTGCCAATTACAGTGAAGGACAGGACTCAATCACAGGGAAAATTGAAGGATGTTTGCATCCTAATAACACTCGTACCATGCTGACCAACGAAAAAGGGAAAAGTTCAACATTCTAAACCGCTATGGGCCAGAGACCACCCCTCTCATAGCCTTTCGCACTGCTGTGGAACTATGAAAATGGATTTTTCTGGAGAAAGCGGAAGAAAGAAGAGTAAAATGAATGAGCAAAATAAATGAAATAAGCTTACGAAAGTGGACCCAGCCTCCTGGCAGGCTCCTTACGCGTCTATCAATGAAACAGAGACTGCTGGTAAAGTCATGCACTCAAGAAAAAGCATAGCCAGCGCTGCGGCGGTGGATCAACTGCTGGTAATCAATCAAACCCCAGGTACCTGCACTTTCCGTTGAAAATCCGGTATAGGACCCATAGCCGCGGCTGTACCGCCCAAACACACTACTCTACAAAAAAGAGAGGACAAAATCGATTAGAGATCAAAATGCTTAAAGGATTTCATAAGGGAGCATATTTAATTTGGACAGGCTTCGAGG